GTATGTGTTATTCAACCTATAGCCCTAACCATCTGCAAAACTGATTTCAGTTGCTAGGGATTCATTTTAGCTAGTGCATGTCTCTTCAGAGAAGAAATCTTTAAAAATGTTAATAAAGATAATGATGAACTAAATTTGGCATGCCTAAAAGAATTAAATGCACACATGTATCAAAATTCCCTCTAGCTTGGTATTTTGCACCAATGTGCCATCAAAAATGACTGAAAGACTTAGGAAGAGATGCTGCGATTATTTAATCTAAATTAAACGCACTCTCTGCCTTTGGAATTCAAGATGTGCTAGTGAGCATGCTGCAGAAGGCTCATTTAGAAATTCTGCCTGGGGATAAAAATAACCTGGGAAGATTTTAAAATTTTCTAAAACCAACCTGCTGACACCAATCTTAATTCTGAAATATGGTTAAGGAAATTACCACTGATTAGCTGGAGGGAAGAGAAAAGATAATAAGGGTGCACTAATCACATTTCCAGCACAATGAAACCGAATCAAATGAAAGCAAGCTTTGGGGTCAAGGACTTCCTGATGCACTGTCCCCTCCAGAGGAACTCCAGACCTTTTGGTGCAGAGATGGAAATAGAGAGAGCTGCCAGAACTGGGCTGTAGACCTGAGCAGGGACGGGAGGGGACTGTAGGACACGTAAGTGGGGATTGCAGGACACGCTCCTGGCAGGAGTGGGAAAGGTTAGAGGAACAGGCAGTAGAGGAGAGGAAGACTCCCATCTCCCTGCAAAGAGCCTGGGAAAAAAGGGGATGGATAGGGAAAGGAGACATCTAAAGACAGCCATGAGAAAATGGGATACTGGATAAGCAGTGGGCAAACTCCCTTCCTTGTGAAAGAGGATCTGACAGCAAAATCTGAGTCCTGCTTCCCTTATTCCCCTCTTGCCAAGATTGAAGAATGATGGGAAGATGACTGAGTGAGCTTAACAGATGGGCTTGTACATCCCAGATTGCTTCAGGTTGCATTAATCTCTGCGGTGGGTTCTCATTTAGCTGAGAAAATGTCACCAAAACAAACGAACCGGAGCAGACTGAGACGTGACCAGCAGATGCAGAGAATCTCTTCTGCATGGTGTGGGTAGAGGCAGGCAGGCAGCATTCCCACTTGTCTGCTCCCTGCAGCCCCTCCAAAACTCATCAAAGATACCCCTGGCTGATTGGGTATAAATGCCTCAGATCAGCAACAGAGAAACCAATAGGAACTGGGAATGTGGATGATGGCATGGAAGTGAGGTGACACAACAGAGGAGTCAAAGCAGTCAGGGGACAGGGACAGAGCAGTGGGCAAAATACAAAATAGACACAGTCAGGTGTTGGGAGAGCTGCCTTGGAGATGAGCACAATTCATTTCTGTCCATAAACCCTCAAATAATCCCTGCCTGCATGTGCATCTCCATTTCAAGAACATGCCAGTACTTCTACTCTTGCATCCTCTCCTGGCTCCTGAACCAAAACCGTCCTCTCAGTATATGAAAGCTCCAGGAAAGAAAGAGGATGTTTTGCTGGGCTTGCTGAGAGCATCCATGAGGGTGGAAACAAACCTCAAACTAGAAGAGAGGGGCAGCAAAAGAACCAACAGGGATTTGGTGCATTATTCCAAAAGAGGCAGAGTAGTGAATCAGGAGACAATGCCATACAACAGAGGACACCAAGTACCTCAGTTCCAAGTATGAAAGCAAACTTAGGACTGCCAGAAGTTCCTTAACACTTCCATAAAGTAAAGAGTGAATAAATTGAAGGTGAAAGGAAAGCGAGGAAAACTTCAGGTCACACAAACATAATTTCAGAAAATGCATGAATCCAAAGCAAATACCATTTACATTTTGCTTTAATTAGGCTGTCCTTGAACGTTATTCCCACGCACCAACCATTACATCTGCTAGGACTATTTACAGTTGCTAAAGAAACAGTGGAGGGAGCAGACAAATATTGTGGACATGTGTTTGTTCCAGAAGCTGCTGCACTCAGCAGAACTGATTGAAACCAACTGTTCAGTGCCCCAAGTGCCACCCAGGCTCCTGCAAGCCGAAATGTAGCCCTGCTTCTCCTCTGGTGCACTCTGGGATCACCACACCCCTGTCACACGTGGGCTACTGACACCATTTACCAGAGTGGAACTGAAGGGGGACACCAGATTTTGGGGGTTCACAGCCCTCTCTCATCAGCTCCTGCTGATGTTCCCCATCTCAGCCCCCTCCAGTCCCCAGGGACAGAGCACCCCCACAGCTCCTGGATCCCAAAGCTGCAGGAGGCAGGAGCAGCACATTCGGATTCACCACACCACCCTCGCTTGGAGACTGGCCGGATACTGTCTGACAATGCATTTTGCTTTAATGCATAAATTTGAAGCAATGTAATTTCCATTTATATGTGCACTCTTCTGGCCAGAGCAGCTTTCCTGTTTTTATCAAGCAGACAAAAGGTTTAAGCTCTATAAAAGGTGGCTGATATTTAAGTTTTAATAAAAATATATTTCAGGTATGTCATTCTTTCCTTAGGCTGACCTAGCCTACAATATATTATTTACATAACTGCTGCAATATCTATTTCAAAAGTGACTCGACAGCCCTCTCCAGAACTGTAAGCTGCCCTGCCTGTCACCATGATGGGTAAACACTGTCACCTTTTCACAGCCCAATGAAATATAGAGAACTAGTAAAGTGCACCATCCATCACAATGGCACTAAGTAGGTTTTTGAAGTAGATTTCAGATCACAAATGCTCACATTTTTACTCACAAATGCTGTTTAGACTGTTACCAGAAAGCACAAATTGGATGGCTCATATACAATGGCCGTATGATGAATGGACATGACAGGTGGTCAAAGAAAATGAGTCTTGCTGTTCTACAAATAACCTTGTCAACATCAAAGTGGAGCTGTAGCTCTGCTGGTAGCCAGACTGCAATAGCTTAATGGTTTTATTTGCTTCAACTTCTAGCAAACCAAACAGACAAATGAGATACAATGAAGCAGCAGCATCGAGGCAGTATTAGCAATTCAGCCTGATTAAGTGACACATAATAGGAATTTTCTGCTAAGGATGAGCCACATTTGAAAGAAAATTATTCAGGTTATGAGTAGCTGTTATAAAAATACTTGTTCACAGGAAAACCCTCATGATTTTGCAATCACAAACCACTGCAGGATATCCAAAATACGCGACTTGTAGTTCCACTGCAAGCAATCAAGTCACTTTCTGATGGCTGAGCCCAGCAACAGCCACCACCTGCTACTTCTAATTTAAAGTTTTTCTACTTCCATTAGTTTAAATAGTAGAGATTAGTGTGTAGGATTGAAAGTCAGGAAGGTTAGATCAGTACCAACTTACCTATAGCCTAAACAAATTGGGAAATCTCCCTTTTCGGCAAAAACTCTAGATCTAAGGACATTTCAGGTAGATTTTTTGAAGAACAGAAGAACACATCTCAAGTTTTGTGAGGGGGCTGAGGTATCTCAAGGAACTGACCATAAAACCATGCAGAGAGTCATTCTTTGGCTCCAGTGCAAGGCTGGAGTTTTGCCAAAGCCAAGGTCCAGCCCCTGTGATGAGGATGGTGTGTGTGGTCCTCATTTCTGCTGAACTCATAAGAGCAAAGTGCCCTGGAACATAATGGAGAGTGGAGCCCGTGCTGCTGGGAATAACAGCAGCGTTTTTTCCTGGAACATTGGATTTCCTTCAATCTGATGAATTTGTTAGCACCGCACTGACATTCATTAAATAAAACCTCAAAGGTCACAACCATTCCTCTCTCTGATTACAGGTACTCTTACTAAGTTACAATGAGAAAATAATATTAAATATGGAGTTTTTAAGTGATATGAGAAGGCAACCACATTCATTATTACGTGGAAAAGTTAAAGCATGTATCATGCAAGTTAGGACCTCTTCTTGCCTACTTCATTTTGCTTCTCAGCAACAAATTTGAAGTGGACAGAGCCCCAGAATGAGGCTGACAAGACTCAGCATGGAGAGTAGGCATGTTTAAATATTAAAATGTTCACAATCTGTTCCTTTATAATCTGTAAGTGTTCTAAGCCATGAACAAACATGTTTTTTAAATAAGACACAAAGCAAGATAGAAACCCCCCAGCATCAATATAATACAATATTTTTGAAAGGAGGAAGATGACAATAATGCAATTAGCAGTGAAATTGCAATTTTTTATATTTCAGAAATATTTTTTAAGATTTGCACTCTCTCAGCTAGGAAGGTAAACAGAAATGATGGCTCCTTTCTGCACTCTCAAAATATTTAGTCAGAAGCTCAAGGAAAACAGACAGGGAAGACAGTACACAGGAAAAAACAAGATAATCCAAGATCTTATTTCACTTGGCAAGTAACAAATCCAAATAGGTAGAATCTTTTTGCTGACAAAACTTCCTAGAGTAACTGCAGTAAGATAAAACTACAAATCGGTGTTTTCAAGAGGAAACAGAGCAGATATGTCAACTGAATTGTCACAGAAGAAACTATGTGAGATCCACAACCATAATTCAGAGGCTCCAGGTATTAGCCCAGCACTCCCACCAGCCGCATCCTTCCTACAAGCATCCCTCAAACCAGTAGCACTCATACATCAGCAAGGATAAAGTGAAACTCTAGACACAGCTTCCAGATTTTGAAATGTGCCAATTCATAAACAGATACTTAAAAAATTATAGACATCGTGTAATTAGATTCGCATAGATATATGTGAGTGTATATCTTTATCTATCTCCTATGAAGTATTCATAGATATAAGGTTGTAAGGTTAATTAAGATAAGTACAATTTGCCACATCATAATTCACATAAATACGCTTATTTTAAGGCTGGGCATTTCAGCATATTTTCAATTGGAATTGATGATTTTAGATGTCTTTTCCTACCTAAATAATTCTGTGATTCTGTGTGTAATTTTCCAGTTAGGCTCAGTAAAAGCTGTTGTTTCCTAACTCTATTTCACCACAAGTGACAGAGACAAACGACCACGTTACCTCAAGAGTTCCTTTGGCAGAATAAGCTGCGTATGAGTACAGGAGGTCTTGGCTGTGAAGTGTTTTGGGGTCTGTGCTGCACTGTTGTCCACTTGGATAAAAGCATTCCCCACTGTTTTGCAGAGTTACTGTGTTTGAAGAGGGGCCTGGCAGGTCCAGCAGAACGGAGTAATTCACCAGCCGGACATCGTCCAGGCCTTGGGAACGCCACTGACCCTGGATTTTCACTGCAAGGTCTGCATCATCTTCTCTGGAGAGCTCTAAAAAATCTCTGAAAAAAAACCAACACACAAGTAAAGTTTAGTTTATTTCCCATCGGGACTCCTTTAGCTTAGTATGCATCACTGCATGACTTTATTAAAAACATATCATCAAACATGCAAAAAAACCATGCAACTTTCATATTTTCTTACTAAGTATGAGACAAAGGCAACAGCTTTTTGGGAAATAAAAGTAAGAAAAAAATGTATGTATAGGAAGCACATCCAAATGAAAAAAAGAATCCTATAGAAATTATCACAGTAACTGTTTTAAAATCCACACGTCATTTGCTTATCAAATTTCTAAAAGAGCATAAATTTAACCAATCTTTAAACATGAAGAAGCCAATCTGAAGTCACGTCTCAAGGATGTCAGGGAGGGCATGATGCTGAAAATTGGTAGTAATTATATAGTTATAATTACATGTTTGGCTTAAATTCATCAAGGAAAGGATATTTACTAAGCAGAATGGAACTGCTCCCCCAGATGATAGGGAGCAGGTTCTTCACATTTCCTACCTGCACTGAAGGATTACCTGAGCCACCAGCTTGGCCAGCATAAGAGGCAAACATGGGAATTATTTTGGCAGTATCCACTGATGGTCAGTGAGAACTCAGACAGGTTGGTCTGGGCTGGCATCACTTTCAATACTGGCTGGCACAGGGACCACAGGATGAAGGCACCAAAGGACCACCCTCCTCCCCAGCACATGCCAGAGAATTCCAGATGCTGAAACTATTGACATGATACCTTCAGAGGATGGGACTGCTGAAGGAGCAACTGAAGGTTTCCCCTACTTATGCAGATGAGCAGTCATGTAAGCAAAGAAGGACAGAAATAAAATTTATTACTCAAATAAAAAGCACTACCCACGTGCAGCACAAAAAGCTTATGGAATATTTGCTGAATTCTGTGAAGTTGGGATTTTGGGGATTTTGTTTTGTGTGTCTACAAAGCTCTCAGGACTGAAAAGAAGATTAAGGATCACAGATGTATGATTTCCAAGCACAGAGATACTGACACTGCCTGAAAGCCTTGTCCACACCCTTCTCTTCACAACAAGGCCACTAAACCTAACTGCTTGGAGGTCCTCAACAGAACTTCAAAAAACACCCTGGCAGTCTTGCACACATCAAAAATAAACAGTTGAATAATGTATAGTCTTTTTAAGCAAGCAGTATGTATCTGAGAATCCCACCAGGTTCTTTCCAGGTGCCCCTGCAATATCCAACACCAGCTGCAGTGCTGCAGGTGCTTGGCTAAAGGTGCTGGCACTGCTTCCAGAAGGGGCTGCACTGCCCCCAGGGAGAGCCCCAGCAAGCAAAGCTTATGGTGGAGGTCAAGCACAAGGGCTCCCTTCTCCACCCATCTTGTGGTTGAACATTTGAAAAATGAACATTTACTGCCTAGGCAACATCGAGGCCTTAAAAGGGGAGAAAGTAAAATTTTAACACCTATTAAACCTAGAAATGACTCAAAAATTACCTACTCCACTGAAATGCCTAATGCCCATCATCACATTACATGGGCAGAATGATTATTCCAACATGCAAAAGGCTTTTTATAAACAAGACATATTTTTGTATAGTTTTTTTTTTATCAAATATATTTATTCAAAGCAATATGTTGTATCCCTGGCTTCATTGCTCCAGCAAGGCTGTTCACACACAAAGTTCAAAATCTTTACAACAGCACTGGCCTTGTGTTGGGACTTCAGGGACCCTGTCAGGAACAATAACTGTCTTGCAGATTTAATGTTTTTAAATTATCTAAAATAAGTCTTCAAGCAATCTACAACACACAGATGACTTAATCCAATCTGCAGTATATTACAAGTTTCCAATTTCATCTCCTGTGCCTGCTAATGTAATGACAAACTTGGGCAGTGCAGAAATAGAGAAAGTTGTTTGATTAACACAATCATTAATGGAATATCTGCATTTCCCTCAGGTGATAGAAACATTAATAGAATAAATAATTAAAGAAACTTATCCCAGGCCAATAGGGTTATGGCACATTGTAACCAGAAGTATTCAGTCACAATAAAAGGAATTAAGCATTGAAGGAGGAAGATAAAATAAGCAAATTGCTCCCTTACTAATAGAAGTTACTTTCCCCTTCCTAATTAAATCAACATGTCTTTGAAACTTTTGTGACAACATTTCTGATTAAGTTACAGAAATAATCCCACTCACTATTTACTCCATAATATCTTTATAGCATGTTAAAATCAAATTGCAAATTATGAGCATACATTATTTTACAATAAATCAGCACATATTAGACCACTTTGATAAATCTTATGAACAACACCAGGAAATTTTTTTCTTCCCAGACTTATTACAATAGCTGACTTGAATTTGACTTTGATGCTGACTGCATGAATTTAAAAGTCAGTGGTAATTGAACTCTTTTTTTTTTTTTTTTACATACTAATTGCATAACAAGCAAAATATGCAAAACCAGTATCTCCTAAACCCAGTCAAATTAATAAAATTTTAAAGTTTGGCAGTTCAGCCTGGAAGAGAATCAACACTTCACATGCACGTCACAGTTCTTCTTTCCAAATGCTCAAATTATTCAATTCCTAGAATGTACAGGGCTCAGGGACTCCCAGAGTGGATCTCAGCAGTGGGGAGGAGCAGCCCCTCCGGGTGAGGATGTTCTCAGCTCCCCCAGCAGCTGCATGCTCAGAAGGAACCAATACCAATGCAATTGCCAATTTCCATTTACAGCACTGCCTCTGAGAGCTTCAGCCAAATGCTTGACTCCCTTTGGTCACATTAAAAAGATGCTTCATTCAGGCATTTTTTCAGGTTGATTCAATGGGAATAACAACAAAGTTTATGGGCACATCTCTGTTGCTGTAAATTTACATAATCCAATGAAGTGGAGCCACCACAGACTGAAGGCTTGGTTTCAAGTCAGAATCAACACTAATAAATGTAAAAATGCCAGTCTGAACACTCCTGTGCCTTTATAGGATGCTCTCAGAGATTTCCATAAATTCCTGACCTTTACTTTCTAATACAGATCAGTATGGAACTAATGTACATCAGAACAGGACATAAACTCAGTTCTTGAGCATTCTCTTCCATCTCAAAAGGCTCAGTTCCTGAACTCAGAAAAAAACAGGTAAAATTGCACTTAAAATCCAGAAAGCTCACCATACTTCTCTTGAATAAGGTAGAGATTTCCCACTTTGATGTGATGAAAAGATCACCACTGTTGAAGATTCAAAGTCCTTAACCTAGAGTAATAATTTTAAATATGTTGAAAATACATCTGTAAAAATGCCAGTGGTTCTGCAGCATCAGAAGGCTATTCTTCACCAGAAGATTATAAAAGATAAATGAACACACACACAAAATATACAAATTTAATTTTCAATTTGGTAACCACGGGGAACACAGACCTGCCGTGCCTTAATGGAAAGTCATTTGCTGGAACAGCACTTTTTGACACAGCTTGCCAAAGGAGAGCACAAGGTATTGCAAATAAGCCAGCTGGGACACTGAACCACCACTCAACAGATACTGAAAAATTACAACAGGTCACTGCAACAACCAAGAGATGGAATAATTTAACTGTATAACACAAGTACTTCTCAGATAACCCTATTAAATTGCCATAAAAACCCAAGGAAAAAAAATTGGAATTGCGGAAGGATTCTACAGATTCAATCTGAAAGATCTACAGGGACAAAAATTCCCCACAAATACGTAAAACTTCAAGTGTGGTTGGTTTGGTTAGTTTTTTTCTTTTTGGATTTACCACCTGTACTGAGCATGGGGAACTGCCTACACTTCCTGGCCTACTAAGAAAAAATAATCTGAATTCCAGTTTTGCAGAGTTAGATATCTAAGTGCCTTATTCCCATATTTTGACTGTAAATTTCCACTGTTTTCTTTCAGTTCACCAAAATTGTTCATAAAGCAGCTTTTTAGATAAGAGCTAACAACAAGTGCCATTTTGGAATTTTTACAGATTGATTTTTCAGCTGAGTAGTTGCTCTCAGATCCTGTGAGTTGCAATGACTGGTCATATTTTGTAAAGCTGCATCAGATCAAAGTGTTCTCTTGTCTAACACGACGCTCCCAACAGTAACTAGTAGCTGATAATCACAGAAGAATGCAGGAAATCCATCACATGGGGTATTCCATTTATAGCCTCTCATGCAAATATCATTTTTTTAAAACCTCAAACTTTGTCCAGGCTGAGTTTTCAAGATATTTTCCTATGTGGAGGATTTCAGAGCTCGTTTCAGCCCATTAAGAGCCGAGCTGTGGTACTCACACACACCAACTGCTCAGCAGATGCACCAGCAGCACTGCCCACACTTGCAGAAAGAGGAGTTATTTGTGTCCATCACACACAGTGTGCACACACAGGAAATGCTCAGGAAATACCACCTGCCCCAGCCACATCTGCTTCAATTTTAATTACATGTTCCTGTTAATTAGGGCATTCCTCTGGGCTGGTCTCCAACCTGCCCAGTTGGATTTCACATGGTCTGAACTGATGGCCACTAATTTGCTGCTCCCAAAATACAGAAATAAATAAATTCAGGTCCAGGAGAGGGTAAATATTTATCAGGATGTGAGAGAAACATGCTCACAGTGCAAAGAGGTGCATGCAGGATGCTGGAGCACCTCAGGTTCTTCAGGTTACATTGCAAGGTCACCAGCACCTGCTGCAGAAAGCTGATCCATGAAATGTGTCCTCTGTCACATCTACCATCAGCCTTCATACATTCTGGATACTCTGGGCATATTTATAATAATAATAATACTAACAATCAACCCCTGCTCATTCTTGGGTAACAACTTACTGCTTTTGCTATCTAAGGGAATATTTACAGAGCTGTACCACAAATTTTACATATTTTACAATATGCATTTTAACATGCTTTAACATAAAGAAGTACAATTCAGGCTTTTAAGGAAAAGGACTGTGATTCATGGAAGCCTTTATTCTCACAGACACAGAATAAATTCAATTCATGAAATC